TGCGCTAGGTGGATGTCACATCGTGGAGGGTACATATAGGGAGCACGCGCCAGGTGGATGTCCCATGGTGTAGGGTATATATAGGGGGCATGCACTAGGTGAAAGTCACGTGGTGTAGGGTATATATGGGGAGCATGCGCTAGGTGGCTGTCACATGGTGTAGGGTACATATAGTGAGCACGCGCTAGGTGGCTGTCACGTGGTGTAGGGTATCTATAGGGAGCATGCGCTAGGGGGATGTCACATGGTGTAGGGGATATATAGGGAGCATGCGCTAGGTGTATATATAGGGAGCACACGCTAGGGGGATGTCACGTGGTGTAGGGTTTATATAGGGAGCACGCGCTAGTTGGATGTCACATCGTGTAGGATACATATAGGGAGCACGCGCTATGTGGATGTCACGTGGTGTAAGGTATATATAGGGAGCACGTGCAAGGTGGATGTCACGTGGCGTAGGGTATATATAGGGAGCTCGCGCTAGGTGGATGTCACATAGTGTAGGGTATATATAGGGCGCATGCGCTAGGTGGATGTTACATGGTGTAGGGTATATATAGGGCGCATGCGCTAGGTGGATGTTACATGGTGTAGGGTATATATAGGGCGCATGCGCTAGGTGGATGTCACGTGGTGTAGGGTATATATAGGGAGCACATGCAAGGTGGATGTCACGTGGTGTAGGGTATATATAGGGAGCATGCGCTAGGGGGATGTCACATGGTGTAGGGTACATATAGTGAGCACGCGCTAGGTGGATGTCAGGTGGTGTAGGGGTTATATAGGGAGCACGCGCCAGGTGGATGTCACATGGTGTAGGGTATATATAGGGAGCACACGCTAGGTGGATGTCACATGGTGTAGGGTATATATAGGGAGCACCCGCTAGGTGGATGTCACGTGGTGTAGGGTTTATATAGGGAGCACGCGCTAGGTGTATGTCACATCGTGTAGGGCATATATAGGGAGCACGCGCTAGGTGGATGTCACGTGGTGTAAGGTATATATAGGGAGCACGCGTTAGTTGGATGTCACATCGTGTAGGGTATATATAGGGAGCACGCGCTAGGTGGATGTCAGGTGGTGTAGGGTTTATATAGGGAGCACGCGCCAGGTGGATGTCACATGGTGTAGGGTATATATAGGGAGCACGTGCTAGGTGTATGTCACGTGGTGTAGGGTATATATAGGGAGCACATGCAAGGTGGATGTCACGTGGTGTAGGGTATATATAGTGAGCACGCGCTAGGTGGATGTCACTTGGTGTAGGGTATATATAGGGAGCACGCGCTAGGGGGATGTCACGTGGTGTAGGGTATATATAGGGAGCATGCGCTAGTTGGATGTCACATCGTGTAGGGGTACATATAGGGAGCACGCGCTAGGTGGATGTCACGTGGCGTAGGGTATATATAGGGAGCACGCGCTAGGTGGATGTCACATGGTGAAGGGTATATATAGGGAGCACGCGCTAGGGGGATGTCACGTGGTGTAGGGTATATATAGGGAGCACGCGCTAGGTGGATGTCACGTGGTGTAGGGTATATATAGGGAGCATGCGCTAGTTGGATGTCACATCGTGTAGGGTATATATAGAAGTATGCGCTAAGTGTGCTCTTTCGAGTTCGTTGCTCATCACCGTATCTATACATGCTAATTATCTTATATATAGTGTAAGGATGTTTTTTGCTAAACACATTCAAATGCAATTATTAGTAGACGCATGTTGGCCAGTGGGAGTAGTATATAGTGGTTAGGTGTGGTATGTTGGCCAGTGGGGATAGTATATAGTGGTTAGGTGTGGTATGTTGGCCAGTGGGAGTAGGATATAGTGGTTAGGTGTGGTATGTTGGCCAGTGGGAGTAGAATATAGTGGTTATGTGTGGTATGTTGGCCAGTGGGGGTAGGATATAGTGGTCAGGTATGGTATGTTGGCCAGTGGGGTTAGGATATAGTGGTTAGGTATGGTATGTTGGCTAGTGGGGGTAGGATATAGTGGTTAGGTATTGTATGTTGGCCAGTGGGGGTAGGATATAGTCGTTAGGTGTGGTATGTTGGCCAGTGGAGGTAGGATATAGTGGTTAGGTATGGTATGTTGGCTAGTGGGGGTAGGATATAGTGGTTAGGTATTGTATGTTGGCCAGTGGGGGTAGGATATAGGGGTTAGGTGTGGGATGTTGGCCAGTGGGGGGAGGATATAGTGGTTAGGTGTGGTATGTTGGCCAGTGGGGGGAGGATATAGTGGTTAGGTATGGGATGTTGGCCAGTGGGGATAGGATATAGGGGTTAGGTGTGGTATGTTGGCCAGTGGAGGTAGGATATAGTGGTTAGGTATGGTATGTTGGCCAGTGGGGGTAGGATATAGTGGTTAGGTATGGCTTGTATCTGGTTGTGGATTGTAATAAATGAATGAGCAATGAGCTATCATCCCATTTATGTCTTGTGTGATCATTTGAATTTAATTGATTTATATAAGGACGAATACTATGAGGGAGAATATAAATCACGATGATAAACAACAGGCTTTGAACACTCAATCTGACAAAAGGTACTACACAATTGAAATTTAGTAAATGGATGCTGTACCAAGAGAGATACAAAAGCAAAAAAAACAGAATTCTGAAAAAGATGTTTGATTTTATATTGATTTCATACACATATGATATCATTTTGAAATCTGGTAATCTGGAACTAAATCATAGGGGGCGTAGTGGTGAAATCGCCAAATTCAGCCAATCGCTGGACAGGATTCGGCAGATGAAAGCGAGCAAATCTAGGATAACAATAGGTGCAGACCTACTGAAGTAGATCCAGCCTAAAAATGACACATATCAACTGTTAAACCTGGTACCGCAGATTCCCTAAGCAGGAGACAAAGAGAGACTCCCTGGCTCTAGATATAGAGGAACCCCAGCTTCATTGCCTGGTGTTATCATGCAGTAGGACACAGCAGGCTCACCTACACAGGATTACGTGTAAGGAAGAGGATATTGGAAATCACAACCCTTTCATGGCTGATCTAGTTAATGTACTAGCATTATGAATTGTACAATGTCAAATGAAGACAGATGACAATGCTTTTGTTTCACGACATGTGAATCCTTTTAGCTGTAACGGGTGAAAAGAGAAATGATACAGCCAGACCAGGGTTCAAACTCGGGACTCTGAACTTTAGACGGAAGCTCTACCAATTGAGCTGGTCGCGGAAGATTGACCCAGTCCAGTTTAGCTACAACGCCAATCAGCAGTAACATACCAATGAAATATTGGCGTTCTGGAGTCTCATTACATCTCAATAATTGTAGATCAATGAAGAAATTGACTTTATATATCAAATGTATATGCAGCCGAAAAATTTGCCTATTAAGACACAGCTTCTTTGCTCACAGTCAAATGGCATTAGAAAACAAAACAAACATTTCCTAAAGTATCTTCAATGAACTTTTTCAGCTTTCCATTGGATTTAAGTCTTTCCAGCAAAAAACTTGGTGGGAGCTTTCCAACAATTTGCACAATATGAAATAAAGTCACTAATCAATGCCCCATCATATATTCAGGTACTTTTTAATGGTTGTAAAAAACCTGATATATATATATATGTATATAAACACAAAGTGCAGTAATATGATACGGAGATTTGTTTCCTTACTGTGGGAGTGGGTTCTGTGGTTTATGAACTTAGTCACTGTTGGGTTATCCAAGTTGGTTATTATAATGATTTTTTTTTTCAAGTATTATCTAAAACCCTAGATTTACAATACTTGCTTACTTTTGATAGATGTAGCATTTTGTAATTTATCATCTAAATACACGCTGATTTTTTTCTTGATGGTAGTAGGGGCACTACAGTATATGTATTTTTCATTGGGAATAGGGTGGAAAATGGGCGCCAAATAATCCTGCGCCAAATGATCCTTAAAAATCTCACATATTACTTGTGCATAGTAAGCTATTGGGTTAGAACTTTTAACAGTATATCAGTTATACCAGATTTAAAATAGATAGTTCACATTTTTTTTTTAACTCAGCAGAGATTGTGACAACAGGTAAAAATGTTCAAACTGATTATAGCTCCGACTAACACCTAGTGGTTGTTACAACATATGAAATCTCAATAGATATAAATCACCTTCAGGTCAATAAGACCATTTAAAGAGCATTACAGTCACTTAATAACAACAAGAAATTCCAAACCTACTACATATTGAAACTACTGTAATTGACTTTAAAAGTGCCCTAGGTCCTTATTAGCAATTCAGAAAATCAGAATGACTGCAGAGTGTTACAAATTGTAAAAATAATCCTAACAGACAATTTTTCGACAAAGTTAGTAACTTTTCTAAATCAAAGTGAATAGATAGGATGGCTGGACCAGGAAAGGGATAAACGCAGTTATTTTAATGAATGTTGTACTAAATAAGAAATTCTGCTCGACCTGTATACACTGAAAATGGTCTTAAAGTCAATCTCACACTTGGTTTCTACTTACCGTAATAGCCATTAATAGCGCTCCTCTCCCTAATAAGAGCCCCCTTCCCCATTTTTTTGAGAGAAATTGAAATTAAATAGGCCCCCCCCCCCCAATTTCTCTCCCAGAACTGTGACCAGTCAATGATACGACAGTATCTAACACTTTACAGCAGAGACTTATGTCTGGTGACTATGGCTGGACTCCTGTGAGGGGGATGAAACATTTGAATTCAAAACTTCCAGCCACACTGCATGGTTATAATGTCCTTCAGTGATAATGGTTGAAGTTGCACAACTTATTTTATCATAACTGATGTTTTATTATCCTACGAAACATCCTCAATCGAAGCATTTTTTTTTAAAGTGCCCTGGGCGCTTATTACAGTGAATATACTTAAATTCTACAACAGAATATACGCAATTACTTCTTTGATTGGCTGAAGGAATATCATTATCCCCTCCACCCTCCCCCAGTGAACGAATGTGATTTCTTCAGCAGCACACAGAGATATTATCAGTTTCGTACTTACTTGGGGTTTCTGGGTTGGCTATTGAGGTCATTTGACCTGACATTTTTATCATAAGATTGGCCTTGCGATCCTTCTCCCTACAAGACAAAGATTGACAAACTGACACAATAATCATAATATAATCCTTCAAATACAATCAAACTTTTATCATGTGACCACCCATGGGAAGTCCAAAAGTGGTTGCTTAACACAGGTTAACTCTTAACCCATTCATCCCTAAAGTCACTTTGAAACTTACAAAATCAATGACTGGGCAAGTTCTGTTTAGATATGTAGGGGTGAATGAGGTAATACAGGTTCAGTTCAGAAATTAATGACTACAACATGGAACATTGAATGTATTAATCTCTTAACAAAACATCAGAAAGTTTGACTGTAGATGCAAGAGGTACACAAAACCTTAATAATTCATCACTATCTTTTTCTTGATATCAATGGTTATTGGGATCAAGCATTTCACCAATTGTTCACATATTTTTCAGTTCACAATACAATTCATGATTTAAACATATCTGTATACTGAATTGCCTATACTTTATGGAAGTTTTATTATTGCTATTGTTGCAGGACAACCTGAAATGATACACAAAACATAACTACATTTACTAATATACTTATTTTTTATCAGTTATCTTTGCATTGCTCATGATAAGCACAAGTTAGAAGTATTATGGATATTTCAAGGAAGAGTGCTCACCTTTGGTTGAAGGGCCGGACCCGCACCGCAACCTTCACCCTGAAATGGAAAAAAAACAAAAACCTTATTTCAACAAGAACATGTATAGCATCATTTTTCTTAGGAACCATTCCACAACTCACGTATAAGGTTTATTGGCCCTTTTATGGTTATGCATGTGTCTGAAAAGTTTTGAATGAGTAAAACGGAAACTGCATAAATTGATATGGTCTAGATTATATTTAAGATAAGCAGTTTCGTATCACTGACCTTTAAACTCCAAATGAATAGATTTATTTCCCCTGTCGTAAAAGAGAAGGCAAGACAATTTGCACGAGAAATTGTCTGGGATGCAGTTTGAAGTACTGGTCAAGAATGCATTTGAAATCAAATATAGAACCACAATAACTTTGAACTTTGAACCCTGGAATAATATATTGGATTCTTTTGTCCTTGCTTGAGTCACATTTTAAATGAATACAGTAAAACATTGAGCCGATTGTCCAGAATGCATCTGAATTATCTTGTCACAATGGCTTTTACCGGCATACTGAACCCCCTAAAAAATGTTCCAGAGTTCTGGGTATTTGCTTGGGTAATGTGACTGTGTGCCTGTGGAGTGTTAAGACCCAGGTAAAAAGTTTTTCAACTTAGGCAAGCAATTAGCAAATGTATACAGATCGGGTAATTGCAGTATACCCCCTTCATCTTTTGGAGTAGTGAAACAGTCGAACCTTGGTATCTCGAGGTCGACAGGGTCATAGAAAAACTTTGAGTCATCCGAGTGTTCAAGTTAAGTGGGTTAATATATTGGTATGAAATGTACTGATTGGACATAGCACTAGCAGTCGTTGATTTGTACTAATAGCCAATGCTTATAATCAATTGATGGATGATATACGTAATTAATAAGGCCAAAACAAAAATGGTGTTTGTTTAGGGTTCCCGACCGACCCTAGCTTTTTACCCCCCGACCCAAAACTTTTTGATGAAAAAGAAAAAGAAAAAAAACAGTGTTCCCTGTCACTTTTGTAATTGGGGCTTTTTGTACCCCCATACCTCTCAAAATGGGGGTATGGCTGCATTTATTAGGTGTACACCTTATCTAAATCCCCATGGGTATCTAATATCATCACAAAATTGTTAACTAATTGTAGCAATGCCATTTTTACAGGTTTAAAAACACCAAGAATTAGTCAGTAACAGAATGAAAATTGTGTAAGGAGGCAGTACCCAAATTGGATCACTTTTGGCAAAAATACTTATACTTCAATAAATGTGTCAAAAATCAGTTATAACAATGATGTATTCTTAGCCATGCACCAGTTTGTTTCTTCAGATGATTCGTTTTTAAATTCAAATTGCACAAGAAAACGCAATTCAAACTCAAATGTCTGTGTTTTGATTACGTTTTTAAATAAGAGGCCCAGATGGCCTGTATAGCTCACCTGGATATCTAAGCAATCATGGCAAAATATTCTCCAAATGCGATCCAAGGGAATATGCCAGCCCCCAAGGCCAATCCAGGATCAATTCTAATATCATGACTGCACTCGTCTCTTTATGCCCAACAATTGTATATATAATTTTGGGGAGGGGATCTTAACCATTTCGAAGCTATGACCCAGGGACTATGTCTCCAAGGGTGGGGCCAGACCCTAGGGCCATCCTGGAAGCAACTGTGCATTCTTCTTTTCATACTCAGCAATTGTATATATGGTTATGCGGTGGGGATCTCAACCATTTCCAAGTGATAAACTTATTTTGGCCCCACCCCTTAGCCCAGGGGGTCAGCCCCCAGATTTGTACAATTTTAAATACCCACCACCTAGGAATGCTTCCAGTTAAATATGGTTGATATCCACTTCTAAGTTCCAGAGAAGAAGTCACTTAAAGCAATATAGCCAAATTGCCTGCTTTTGGCCCCGCCCCTTAGCCCCCTGGGGGGTCATCCCGACCATTTGTACAATTTTGAATCCCCATCACTTAGGGATGCTTCCAGTCAAATATGGTTGATATCCATTTCTAAGTTCCAGAGAAGAAGTCGCTTAAAGCCATATAGCCAAATTGCCCCCTTTTGGCCCCGCCCCTCAGCCCCCTGGGGGGTTCAGCCCCAAGATTTGTACAATTTTGAATACCCACCACCTAGGAATGCTTCCAGTCAAATATGGTTGATATCCATTTTTTAGTTCCAGAGAAGAAGTCCCTTAAAGCAATATAGCCAAATTGCCCCCTTTTGGCCCCGCCCCTCAGCCCCCTGGGGGGTTCAGCCCCAAGATTTGTACAATTTTGAATACCCACCACCTAGGAATGCTTCCAGTCAAATATGGTTGATATCCATTTCTCTGTTCCAGAGAAGAAGTCACTTAAAGCAATATAGCCCAAATGCCTGCTTTTGGCCCCGCCCCTTAGCCCCCTGGGGGGTCATCCCGACCATTTGTACAATTTTGAATCCCCATCACCTAGGGATGCTTCCAGTCAAATATGGTTGATATCCATTTCTTAGTGTCAGAGAAGAAGTCGCTTAAAGCCACATAGCCAAATTGCCCCCTTTTGGCCCCGCCCCTCAGCCCCCTGGGGGGTTCAGCCCCAAGATTTGTACAATTTTGAATCCCAACCACCTAGGAATGCTTCCAGTCAAATATGGTTGATATCCATTTTTTAGTTCCAGAGAAGAAGTCGCTTAAAGCAATATAGCCAAATTGCCTGCTTTGGGCCCCGCCCCTCAGCCCCCTTGGGGGTCAGCCCCACCATTTGTACAATTTTGAATCCCTACCACCTAGGAATGCTTCCAGTCAAATTTAGTTAAATTCCAATCAGTAGTTAAGAAGAAAAAGTTGTTTAAAGAAATTGTTGATGGACGGACGACGTAAGGACGGACAACGGATGCCACGGTCCTTCGGACCCGGTGAGCTAAAAATGGCGCGTTTTACTGAAACAGAGATCATGTAACTTACCCACACTGGGCACAGACAGTCATTATGTAAGAAGCTGACAACAAAAATCCAAATAGCGTCTGCTGGGTTTTTTCTTCATTCATGATCAATTATGCAATATAGTGATAATCAGCCCCGAGGATACTGATAATCCGGCTATGCACTCAGGTATTATTGTAGGACAGTGCGGACTCATTACCTCCCGTAGTAATTATATTCGCCGCTTGGTACGCTGCATGCATTGTTTATTACCGGACTTCAGTCATTCCCGGGAAATTCTGACAGTCACTTTCAATTTTCTGAATATCATCATTTAAAATACAAACATGCTATAAAAACGGCTGAACATTGTACAAAATTATTGTGTGTACACTCATGCTTAGTATGACGAATTTACGCGTGCAAAGGTGTTTACTACGCGTGAATCACCCAGGATTCTGTATGATCGGGAACACTGAAACCCACTGATTTTCGAATTTTAGAAGGTTCCTTGCCTTTCAAAATGGCTTCCAGCTCCGTGTTGGCGCTAAATTTCATCATATGGAGCACAATTTGCCTCCAAATGTAATTCTTTGTTTTACATACAAAAAATTCCGACCTACCTACCCTAGTTTTTTTTCCCATGCAAACCTAAACAGACTATATATTTGTTTGGCCTAGGACAAATACATGAATGTTATTTTATAATAAACATGCTTACGAAAATAGTGCAAGTTTTTTTTACGTAAAACGTACTTTCATTTAATGCGATGAAAACGGTTCGACCATATTGCGAATTTATTATGAAATATGGACGGGCCTAGTGATTAAATGTGGATTTGGCTAGTCTTGCCAAAGTCTTTTTAGGTCTTCATTTATATTTGCAAGTCTGTCAAGTTTTACCTCTGAAGTGTTACATTCAAAATAGAACTATCCCGCTGTCTCCGAGCTCGTACTTTACGATGCGGAAATTGAAGTGCACAAGTCTAAAACAAATCACAGAAATGGAGCGTACGCATAGTTGATTCTTTAAATGGCTCCTGTAAAAACATGAACCTATGAAGCTATCCTAGGTTGTGATTTTAACTGTGGAACTCTTTTATGCATGACCACGCTTTGTGACCAATTTTCCGGTTTGGACTGTCGTCAGTTTAGGTGTACAAATTAATAATTTTGCATATCTAGCTCCCCCATAATATTTTTTTTGGTATATATTGTATTTACCTAAAAAGAAAAACAACTGATGACGGAACTACTTTTTACACTTCATAATGAAAAATTACAATGCACGCAGCTTTTTTTTAGCGCAATTGTTTAGTTTACGTAAAAATTAAATAAATCTTTAACTGTGCATTTACAACGTGTTTGTCTATTTTTTTAAAATTAAATTATAAAGAATGCCCAAGATTTTGTTTTGGTATATACTGTATATATACCAAAACAAAATCTTGGTCATTCCTTAATTAAACGAAATCGCAGTAAGTACAGAATACTGTTGATCAACAATGATGGAGTTTGTTATTTCTTATGAACAACGTGGTTATGACAGTCCGCACACTTCAAATTCACAGTCTTAAGCTTTATCGTAAATTATCTTTTCCATGATAGTCTACTCACGAAAGAGTCTTGAGTAGACTCTACCATACATCCATCTGGATGAGTCAATGATGGTCTACACTGGTGAATGGGTCAACACATTAATGTATTTTTTTTAAGACACCAGTATTGATTTTAAATATCTATTAATGACTTTATTTTCTATACTCAGAATGGTACAACAATAATTTACAACTAATTATATACATTTAAACATTTTGATACACTTTTCCATAAATTTCCGGCAACAAATTGTCGTATGTCAAGGGGTCAAACTTAGGCCAGGGTTATCCAATACGAATTAGCAGGGAAACTGATGAATCTAAAATCTTGCTAATAGGATTAATTAGATATAAGAATAAAGTTTTGGAATTCTACTGACCCAGTACAACTGATACTGTTAATTATGAGTTTCAAAGTACAATTTTAGCTATATCAGGTATCAGGAATCCAGATAATTTAAATACTAAAGGTCTTTAAGGATTCCTGCACCTCTACCAAAAACTGAAACTACTCATTGGAATCTGCTTTTTCGGCATGACTATAGCTTTGATAAACTGAAGTCCGGAAAGAAAATTACACCTTGCAAGACTTTTATGAAAAAGACTAAAGGTGACATAAACAAAATATAATCAAGTGTTTTGAGTTTAAAAACTTCAGTGTGACTACAACGGGAAGCAAACCCAGGATTTCAGATTGTTATATGATCTCTATGTAACCGATTGAGCTATCTGGCCAAGGACAATGTCTTTTTCCAACTGTGCTACAGTTACCAGGTATATCCAAACCAAAATCAAGGGGAGGTTACTGTATATACAAGAAACCAGAGTGCAGCACTGGGACAGGGATCCTTAAAACAAGGAACAAACAGATTTTTATAAATGCCACAGTTCCACTACACATTGTAATGTAGACAGAAGGATCATTGAATAAATTTCCTCCTAGAGCCTCAGAAATCATCAGCATGCAGTTCTAGATGTTATTATTTCATTTTTAACTTTTTTCATTTTTTTTTCAATGGGTTTTACTTTTCAAGAATGATGTAATAAGAAAACATGGAAAGACGTGATGAAAAATCAGCCACATAGTTTATGATAATCAATTGAGAAAATCAACTGAATTCAGATGTATATAGATCATATTTGGAACTTGACCAAACATTAAAATCTTCATCTTGACACTTTCATTTCTGAGATAAAACAACCATTCAAGGAGGAATTGGCAAGTTACAAAGTAATTAAGCTTTGAAACTGTCAAACATATTCAGATATACATGTACGCCTCAGAATTTGAAAAAGTTTGTATTCCAACCCCTATACAGATCTTTACTCTCTATCATGAAGCCAAGTGCCAGGTTCAATCGATCTTTGTACTCTTGATTAGCAATGCAACTGTGAAAAATACTGAAGATCTAAATAAATAGTTAAATTGTCTGTACCTTTCAAACAGACAAAATTGATTATAGATTAAACACATGGGCATGGCAAGCATGAGGAGCAACAATGGCGATTTACACTTAACTAATAAGCCCACTGCAATAAATTTCAGTCGATCAGCAGCCCGACAATGTTTAGTTCTATATCCATAATAAATGCATTAGCTCTCCAATAAATCGTCAGGTTCAACCACGTCTAATACGCTAGGATAAACAGATCGAATAGTAGACCATAGTACATAGGAATAATAAATGCAGCGTTCCATCTCAATTGTTCTGCGTTGTTGGAATATTTTTCTTGGAATTTGTGATAACCATCTGTTTTTGACAGATTTCCTCTATATACGGTAACCTCAGGGGTCTATCAAGGTGCTTTTTAGGTCCTTTAAATGGACCCATTCCCAATCGACAAAGTGTGATTTTTTTCTCAATTTTCACCTATGAAAACAATTATGCATATTTTTAAATCAATTTCTTACGATTGACTGTAAATATCAGCGTAAATAGGAAGGGCAGAATTATCATTTGCCATGAAAATAGGCTTAAATAGATGTTAAATTGTCTATATATATATATATATGTACATTTTCACGTAATCAGAGTTGATCGATTCATCTAGATTTCCTAACATTGTTCGTATGTCAATGATTTCCCCCCAGTTAGACAGTTTCATCCCAACTTGGTCCGTTTCCTAACCCCTGATTCTTATATTATGATTGCTATGTGATCTGTATGTATATTTATTTACATAGGTGTTTCTACATGAGTCAGAGGTCAAACAATTAAAGCAACTGTTAATCAAGGCTTCTGAATTGGACTATGGAACAACCAATAAACCATACTAGGAATTAAGGGGTTAATCTCGAAATCATTTTTTTGCAATTGACAATTTCGTGCCACGTTTGGTTTAAAGATTACATGTATAATTTACCAGCTTTTCGTGCGAGTCTGTCAAACAAACATGAGACTGACAAATATACAATCATTTGGCCTTTACTCTGCCTCGCTCGTGTAACACTCTAGTAAAGCATATGACCATATGCATGAATTGTCATCTGACAACGCGCAAGTACCCGGGTGATAAAGTCTCGGAAATACCAGTGATAGCCTCTCAGACCTTTGAAACACTTACCCTTCCTCAGGCATGGCTGTTTTGTGGTTGTGTAACAGAAAGTATTATAGGTAAAATCCCATGTTTACATTGAGTAGTTCGCTGTCACTATTCCGTCAGCCCCATGAACCGAACTGTCACTGACAAGCTGTCTGCTAGTACCACATGGATTTCAACACTGTAGGACAGGTGCGCTATATATAGTCTGTTTCAAAATAAGACACAAAAATCTACCCCGAATGTATTACGCGTACACCGACCGGTAGTCTAGCTGCTACCTTCAGATTAGCATCGGACTCAGTGGTCTGTGTCGAGCTTTTGTAATGAAGTAAATATCTGTAAATCAGATAAAAGAAAATTTATCAATTCATTAATTGAAAATCTGTCGGGCTTACATTTTTTTATTCAGTTACACTCACAAAGAATTTAAGCTCTATTTAAGTAAATTACAAATGTGTCGCCAGTTCATGTACTCGTCCTTTGCCTCTAACAGTGTTTCTTTTTAATTTGTATATGTGTGTTTGGGGGGAGGGGGGCTCATAATGTCTTTCCTTAAGGTCAGAACCAACGAAATCGATTGCATGAGGGTCACATATATATATATGTCGATTATAACATATTATTGATTACAAATACGAATCACATTGACTTAAGCAGAATGTTAATAAAGTTGTTCTGTGTAGGCAGATACAATTGTATATAGTGATCATTACAATATGTAGACACAAGTCGTATGCTAGATTGATTGTAAGATTTATACTTCTTGCGCACGTAACAGGAAAAGAAAAACACATAAACAAATGGCCACGTAGCTTCGGTAAGATTCGGGTAACATCTTGCCTAGCGTAAACACAGCACTTGAAACAATGGTTAGCGGACCTTCGCGTTGTAATCGTGATAACCCATGCATGTTCGAATCCTGGTCACGGCCCCACTGTAACGGGATAGGGAAAATGCATGGCCAAACTCAGATTCGAACCCGGAACCTCTTACTATAGACGGACGCTCTAACTCATTGATCTACATGGTCGCCGGCGATCGACCTAAATGTTCTACTGCAAATTTTAATAACTTTTGGACGATTATATATATATTATAATCTCATTTAAGCCGACCGCGAACACTCGTGTGCCGATTATACGTTATGTTTTACAAGTGAGCGTATTGTTTTAAGAGTTAAATCCCTCCCGGATCATTTTTTTCTCATTCGATCTCATTGGTAGTTGAGATTAGCTCACGATTTTCATTGGCCATCATGTTTTCGAAATTTCTGACTATGGTCAGTAACCATGCATAGTTTGGTCAGGGACAGTATATAATTTCACTATGCGTCCCTGGTTCGGTCGATTTCGCGATTTCTGTCAGTTTAGTTGTGTCATATTGGTCGAGGCCAAGTGATTTTGACGGCGTGTGTATGACCTCATGTTTGTATATCCTATATCTTGCCTGATGTTGATTAAAGGCAGACAAAAAACTTATTCCCCGAGTTTGTTGTTGTCGCCACTAAGTTATTGAGAAAATTATTAAGGTGGTAAATAAATTAAACTGCTTACAATTGTAACAGGGAGAGAATAGTGTGCTTCCACCGGTGATTGAACCCCCGATCCCAGACTTCCTAGACGGGCGCCCTACCACTGAGCTAAAGGAAAGTTCCCTCTAGCGTGAAGCTAGAAGGCGACCGTAATTCTATGTATGATTAAAATCTCCCACACAATTAAAAGACCGATAATTAGGTTAATCATAATGTTGCTCATCTACTATTAAAATTCTTACGACAAACACGCATTCCAGATGATAACATTACTGTGGTAACGTTAACGTGTAAAGGATTTAGACACCCGTATTAATAAAGCTGAAACGGACTATAGCTTTTAAAATCCTGTTGCTATTATAATGGCGACGTAAACAATCCAACTTTTTATTGATGGCAACGTGACTGGTCGATACACCTATACATTCGGAAAGTCCTACAGGACTGCCATAAACTGTCAATTGTATAGCTGACACAAAGTGGATTCATTTTCCATTTAACCCACATATATCGTGATGACAGTTGTGTATAATATTTCAGTGACGGTTGCTAACAAAGCGAGACCGATTTCCAGCCGATAGCAATTTTATTAATTTGTCTCTTTTGTTTTTATCACATTTAGTGTCCCGTGGGAGACACTAGTCAAATTGGAACACAATTATTGGAAATAAAACAAAGACTTTCAAGTTGCCAGTCTGTAAAACTGTATTGTGTATTAGAAACACACACATCAGTGAGTGACCAGAATTCAGTCCTGTCAACTTGACGATGCAAACAACTTTTTTTCCAAAGTATTAGCAAAAATACGAGCATGTGTTTAATTAGTAATTTTAATATGATCATTTTGAATCCCAGCTCAGTCGTGTTTAGTTTTTAGAAGAATTAATTTTGATTACCTACGTGTTTAAATTAGTAAATGAAGCTTCAAATGCTAACACAGTCCTAGATGTAATCATGCAGTGATGTCCCATACGGAATATTACGCTGATTGCATTTCATATATCACACACCATTAGCAATTATAAAGGCGTACATGTAACGGGTCCGTACGTCTTAACTGTTATTACATAACAGGCAGATATTTTCCCTCGGTTGATATCGTATATCTATAACTATTGTATTGTACTGTATTGTACAACCACGGACATAGATATTTCAAACGGACACACAAGAACTGAACTGTACTTTAACTTGAGACCTTACAATAATGCTTCTTATTCAAGTTCTAAATCAAAGCAATTGCTTTTCTTCGCCGTTTATCAGTTGAGGAATTGTTGTGGATCTAGTTCAAATGTCATACTAAGAATTATTTTCAAGGGGGGGGGGGGGGGGGGGGGGGGGGNATATCATCCCCCCTAGGTGCTAGGTTTAAAGGGAAGGAACTCCTATACAATCAGTTAAATATTTTAACGGGGTTTGTGAGAAGGTTCCATGCTGATTTCGGTGGTATTTGAGACAACGTGTATGTGACCTCTAGTGCATTCTGGTTGTACATTTTTTTATCAAGCGGGCTTTAATTTCTCTAAAAAAGTCATGATTTGATGTGAAGTTATGACCTTTCTTACGGTTTATGAGTACGTGCTATCTAGATTGTCAATAGTCATTTAACGGTGATTGTAGGATTTCGTGCAAGATTATAACAAAAATCTACTATTTGACCTAGGCTTGTAAAAAAAAGTCTTGCTAATGTTCCCTAATAAATAGTACTTGGCAAAAAACATCAACAGGTGCTACTCCTGAAGGCAGCATTGTAGGACGTGTGTGGCCCAGTGGGGGGGCCGGGGAGAATGGGAAATGGACATTGAAGTATGTTGCAGTAAGCGACGTGGCTAATACAATGAGGGGTATTGTATCGAGGTTTTACTGTACATTTATAGACTGGTTTGGCGTTCCTATATAGACCGGCATGAATATTAAAATCAAAACCATCTAATTCCTACTTAAATCACCAATAATTTCTAATTTCAGTAGTGGAAATTCGGACTATAAGCTGTTGGTTTAAACAATATTTATTACTGAAGGATGTACTCTTCTGAGGTTTCAGTCACGTTCAAGTCACGTTTTGATTTGGTGTTATGGGTTTTTGTAATACTTAACAAATTATGATAGATATAATAGCAAACACACATCTGAAAAACATGCAAAAAAACTAGATGTCTGTTGTGCGTAGAACATTTTTTACAAGAATTTTAAAAAAAATGACCAATTTGGCGGCCATTTTGAAAAAGTGTTTTTATGTGAATTTCTTGCGCTTCACAAAGGGCCAAAATTCTCCTTTTTTGACACTAGATTGATCACTTAAATTGTCATTGTGTCACCATTTTTAATTGTAGCAGGTTCAATTTTGCTGTACAACTTTATAATGTTCAATATGATTAAAATAATATGCAAAAAAAGTGGAAAGTTATATATTATTGATATTTTTTTTTACATATTAGGGTAACTGAAGCACTTTTGATTTTTGACCCCGAAAAAGGGGAAAAATAACACAAATGATAATGGGACAAAAAAAGAAGCACACCGACCCTTCATTTTTGTGGCTGTTTCAGAAAGAGAAACACATTTTCTTTTGATTCATTGAATACTAAAAAAAGTTTATTACAGGATTTTTTTATATCAAGCGTTTAATCGGCAAAAAATGGTGAAAAATTAAAAAATAAGGGGTAGGGGTAACTAAAATCGCATTTTTGAGTAAAATGAATAAGTTTAAGACATTTTACTTCCATAGTTTCAAAGAAAATATTATTTTTATCAATTCTACAAACATTCATTCATATCTGATAACACACTTGGAAGAAATTGTATGAATTTGTTCTGCAAATGGTCAAAACCCGAAAATTCACCTAAAATCACATATTGTGTTAAATTGGTATCTTTGACCGATCATAGCACAAAAACGAACACACCGACATATCTTTTTTTTTTGCATTTTCTACTATGCCATTATCTCCTTTTTCCAAAAATCAATATAAGAAAAAAAGTTTAATACAGGAATTTTTTGACTTCTCAGAGGTGTACATCCTTAAATCCATTTACAATACAATCACATCAATTTAAAGGATTTGGCGACAAGATAAAAAATCTTATGTTAGTCCATCTCCTTCAGGTAACATTTAACAAAAATGTATATTCTCTGACTGACCATAATTGTATAACATATATAACACACATTTTTATCTAATTAGTAAGAAAGAAAGAAATAAGAAATAAAAAGTTAAATTATTAAGAGAGATAGAAGATAAAGATTTAGAAATTTGAGTGAGTGATGAGATTCCACATCAACACCTAGAATCTGCCTGATGCCATAATGTACCTCTGGACTTGATTAAAAAAATCAATATTTTCTATTTTAGACAAATTTGGGTCAGCTTGAAGCAATATACCAATATTTATGTTTATATTTAGCTCAGATATTGTATAAAGTCTATGTTGTCTATAGTTTGTACATTCTAATAAGAAATGAGATGCTATCTCAATACTACCGCATTGAGATAGGCTGTAAGCTGCTGGGTATTGTTTCCACTACAATGAGATTTTGCGCTTGTTTCAAAGGAATTTCGTTTAACATTCACTTTAAAATGATATTGGAAAATACATGTATTGAATTTTAATTAAAAATAGAATACAAAAGTCAGTGAATATGGACA